CTAAACAAGGGGCAGAAAGGGATTCACTGTTTTGGGCTAAGCTGTAACTTTAGTGTTTTTTCCTTTTTTTCCTTTTCTTGAGGTTCTTTGTTGCTCTTGGAAGATAAGTGTGTTTGTCTTCCTCTTGTAAATCTTATATTGATGATTTAATGAAGTGTTATTGATCAAAAAAAAATAACACCCCACATCAATCATGTACACAGTGAAAATTCGGGTGGTTGTGGGGCATATACACTTCATGCCTGACGTGGAGTATTATTATTGGATACATAAGCATCATGTTCAGCTAATCCAGACTTGAATGATCCTCAATGATTGTTTTTTTGTTGGGCTATTCTCCCATACATTTTTTGGTGTTTTGTATAGCTACTGTTAAGTGTATTTCTTTGTAAACTCATACATGCCAGACATTGAGTACATTACTTTAACTTTCTCTCAAATGAAGAGAGAGAGCCACCACATGATTGCAGTTTTCCATGAACTTGCCTAAATGAATGAAGTATCCATGTGAAACATGCATCAGATTCCAACATTAAATGGATTCTTGAGGGGCACTCCCATGTGACATTTTTCTTTCTATCATTGCTCGTTTTATATGAAACTACAGCTGATTTTATTTTCTCAGCAAAAGGGTTTCGTTAGAGAAAAAGGTTAAAAATTAATACAACTGTTGGAAATTCAAACACCCTTTGGTAACAGTTTTACAAGTTTGCCCAGAAAGGATTTTGCCTGTCAACTCCCTGTTTAGCTAGTACATCTACCCCATTTGCAGTTCTTCTCACCCAGCTGAAGTGTGAATTTAATTGCTTTGCAATAACATCAATTTCCCTGAATGTATGTCTATATTTCCAAGGTGCTACCTTGAGTTGCTTAATGGATTACTAGTTGTGAGTCACCCTCCACTTTCAAATCTCTAAGACCAAGCTGTTGTGCTAATCTCAAGCCTTGCAGAAGTACCAAAATTTCTGCCATAATTGAATATACTAAGCCAACTGGACCTGAAAACAAAACCACCACCAAACCTTGATCGTCTAATCACTCCTCCAATGCCTGCTCACCGAGACCCAACCCTATCAAACACTTTTATTTCATAATGAGATGAGAGAAAACTACAATATTAACCTTACAGATATGAATATGTTACTAATGACCATATTACAGGTAAAATACCAATAACAACCATAGATTTTTGTACACAAATATCTACTAACACTACTAACCTACACTTTAAGCACCTATATGTAATAGTGGTCCAACCATTTAAATTGTCCAATAGGGGACTCTAGTCACTCTAGTATTTGGATTTTCCCAATTTAAATATAACTTGTGACCAATTGTTTATTGGAAGGCAAATAGGCAAAGGCTGTGAGTTAGCTTATCAATTGTCAGTGGTAATACTTCAAGTTGTTAAACTATTATAGTTCTATGAATTTTAAGAACATAATTTACAATATTTAATATGTATATATAATTAAGGGTGAATTACGGTTCAGCCCAGGGTCAGAATTTGTAGGCCCAAAGTACTGTTTGGGTAGGTGCCAGCTCGGAATTGATGCCAATTCACGGGCGGGAGTTGGTGCATAGAGTGTGGGTTGTTGACATTTGAATGTTTATAGCTCAGCAGTGGAAATCAGAAATCTGCATTAGGCCTGTTCGTACTTTTCCGTATAATTAAATATCATTTATGTGAGACATGTATACAAATCCTACTTTTTTGGGTTCACCAAGTCAGATTCCTGCACACATGTCAGATTCCAATTACTCTGTCCATGTCCATGGGCTTTTGACCAGGATACAAATTATCACCATCATCATCATCTAAGCCTTATCTCAACCATATGAGGTTGGCTACATGAATCCTGTTTCGCCATTCTGTTCTGTTTAATGCCATATCAATTGTTAATTTATGAACACTTAAATCATTTCTTACTATTCCATCCAATGTCCTTTTTGGTCTGTCCCTAACCTTTCTAACTCCTTTACCTTGTAATTGATCACTTTTTCTTACAGAGTTGCAGGTTCTGGGGGATCAGGATGCATATTATGACTGTACAAAAACCATATTTCATTTTTAGTTGTCAAATAGCACCCTTCCATGAAACCAGCCATATGTGCTCATTTCAAACACAAGGAGACCCACAGAACCATTACATATCCAAATTGAATGCCAACCCAACAGTTGGAAGATGAGATACAAGCTACTGAATGAGGTCCAAGCTGCCACTTTCTTCCAATTATACTTCTTTCACTTTAAGTATTCATGTGAATTGCATGGGCACAACCAAGATAAACCAATAAATTAATTTACAAGGAAAAGTATGAGCAACAAGAGAAGGAACTGCACAGAAATCAGTCACTCATGGCTGGAAACTCATTAGCTAAGTAAGAAATGTATACCTGTTTGCCAGCATAATAGCGACCATTCATGGAATGATATGCAAGAACAGCTGATTCCAGGGACTTATAGTGCACATATACATTCCCACGCAAATGAAAGGAACCATTCTTACACACCTGACCAAAAAAAAATTGCATTAAAAAATGAGACAGTAAGCAACAAGCATCTCAGTGAGATTCAATACTACAAAGTCACCAATTCACCATTGACCATTCATGGTATCTGTTTTCATGATATTTCCAAACACAAAATAAATTACCAACCAAAAGAACATTCGTAATATTGATTTTCAAGATACTCCCAAGCATAATGTATGAGATTATTAATTTTAGATGGGAAGATCAGCAAATTCCTTAGCGGATGGGTTAGCTAAGCAAGGGGCTTCAAGGGAACATTTATTTTGGGCTGCTTTGTGATGCTAGTTCTGGTTAATTCTGGTCAATTATGTTTTTAATTTGATGTAATACTTGTTAGAAGAGGTAACAACTCGTGCCTCCTCTTGGGTCTACTGTATTGTCTCATATTTCTGATTTAATAAATCATACTCATTTATCAAAAAAAAAAGATTATTAATTTTAGAAATATAAAAAAACAACATGAAGGTAGCAACCAGAAACCTTGAAATTGACAAGTTCCCCAAACTTCAGAAATTCTGTGTGCACATCCTCATAAAACTCTTCATAACACCGCTCAACCTCTTCATCTGTGTACTGAAGTACATATGAACCAGGAAATGTCTGTCAGATAAAAAGTATATGCTACTTGAAAAGCATGCAAAAGACTAACTGCCTGATATCACAGGATTCACAGCCCACAGGACAAGGATGCTAAATTGTGTATAGAGAGATCTGCCGGATGTTCTCACAGATATATCATGCTAACACACATAAATTAACAGCAGCAATACAGCAATGCTGATTCAAATTCTAGATACCCATTCATGCAGAACTATAAATCAAGTAAGCAAACATGGCTTGATTTATCACCTAAAATCAAAAAAGATAGAGAAAAATAGAAAGAGGAGGCATAAAGAGTGATCCATATATAGTAATGCTGTTATTACTAGATGGAAGAAATTTTTAGAGGCAGCAGCATGAAGTAAGGCACTAAGATCTTCCAGTGCACATAAACCTCAGGACTCGAGGCTTAAGCTCATGAATTCTCATTCTTTCATGTAATCTAGATAAAATGACCATCACAAAAACAAGGATTATAAAACTAATTAGATTCTTCCAAAATGTTGCAAGATTCAGAGAAAGCTCCTGTGCAAGTTGGATTGGAATTCTTTACTAGAGATCATTAAGTCTTATGGCTTTGGGGATGGATGGTGTAATTGGGTAAATGGATGCTTCCAATCTTGTCATTATTCTGTCTTGGTGAATGGAGTGGATAAGGATTTTTATTCCCAGCTTGTAGAGGACTTAGACAAGGTGATGCATTATCACTTTTCCTCTACCCTAGTAGCTGATGTGTTTGGTAGATTAATTTCTAAAGCTGAGAAGGAAAAGGAGTTTTGACGATGGAGAATAGGAAGCAACAATATTGTTGTCACTCACCTGCAATTTGTAGATGACTTGATTCTGATTCATGAAGGGAGTAATGTTCAAAGGTGAGAATTTTGAAAATGTTGATTAGGAAGTTTAAAAGAGTTTCAAATTTGAAATTCAATTTGGTAAAAAGTTGTATAGCAAGGGATTCATTTGGAGGATGAGGAGGTAGACTCAATTGCATCTTGTTTAGAGTGCTCCACCTCTAGTTGGCCCTTGACCTATTAAGGTCTCTGTCTCCCTCTAGGAGCAAATCCTTAAGGAAAACAGATTTTGGAACCCAGTTTTAGAGAGGTGCACCAAAAGGTTAGCAAGAAGTTACACTTTGTTAGAGGGGCAGAATTACATTAATACAATTTACACTTCCCAATCTACCTGTTTATTTTCTCTCAGTGTTTAGAATACTGCAAAAAGAAGCAAGAAGCTTGAGAAACTTATGTGGGATTTTTTATGGAAAGTCAAGAGAAGGAAAGAAAGATCACTTGGTGAATTGGGATCTAGTGTGTGGGAATTAAAAGGGGGTGGTTTAGCTGTTGAGAATGTGGAAAAGAGGAATTTTGAACTCTTAGAGAAGTGGCTGTGGAGGTGGCCTTTGGAGAGAGAGCATTTGTGGCATGAGGTAGTGGCTAGTATCCATAGTAGGTCGAGCAATGGTTGGGATACAGGTGTATCTTATCGAGATACGTTGGCATCACCTTGAAAGGCTATTTATAGTATCCCCCCCCCCCCGCCTTTTCTCTGATGTGTAAGTGATGTAGAACCAGCTCAGTTCTAGTCCTTAGAGAATGTTGAATGGTCTTCTTGATCAGAGTTTTATGGCTGTCAATGGCTGTAATGGCTTCTTCAAGGAATAAGAGAGTGAAGAAAACTGAAGAGAGGAGAGCTTGAGAGTTCGGCAATGAGGGTCTGAGAATGAGAGTTTCAAACCTACACTTTCTCAGCACCCTAACACTATTTTATTAAGATATATTTGAATAATTACAAGGACGCCCTTAGTTGGGCAAGAATTTACAAAGAACTAAATATAGACAGGATAGACCCAGAATAAGGCCCATTACAGAAAAACATAAATAACAAGAAAGAATAAACAACCTATGGGCCATTMGGCCCATCTTCTCTAYACTCCCCCTCAAGCTGAGCATAGATGTCAATCATGTCAAGCTTGCTGGAATCATGCTGAAGTTTTGCCTTGGAAATGCCTTTGGTGAGAAAATCTGCCAACTGTCATTCAGATGTGATGAAA